ACAGGGTGGGACTAAAAAAGTTTTTTTGTCTTGTTCACATTAAAATACATATAATCTAGCTCGTTATTTACTTACAAAGTTATTCATACGTGGCTTATGGGAGTGAATAAACTTTCCCTTTATAGATACTCACTTCAAGTCAAGTATTTCTCTTATAAATTTTGCTCCTAACTCAGGTAAAGACTCGTTACGTTGCTCTCGCGCACGCGTTGCGTAACTACGAACGTTCACGTCACAACATATGGATGAATGAGGCCCAGATAGCCACTACTCTTCGTTTGAGCCAGTCCATCCTTCTCAAGTGTCATCTGCAAATACCATTTAACCAGGTAACATCATTCTTGGGATAATACTTTTAAGTATTTTATCTTCGCTTTATTTAACTTTGACTAGTATTTTCGAACCATTTCTGGTATGAATGTCCTATCTCAGCTATATTATCTCCTGGTTTTAGAACGCCAACCAGTTACATTTATTGATGCTTCACCCTTATCCACAAGAGTAGAGCCGGAAGTAGAATTAAAGTACAACTAATAATAGTGTAATGTTAGTGCAATTCTACCAGACAATGCTTTCCGGGTCAGCCAAAGTACTCGTTGTCATCCTATGTCATTTAGTCTTCGACTTTAACGTCTACAAAACTCATCTCGCTTTAAATTTGATCCACTTAGTCCTAGAAATACCTACCCCTGAGTGAGCTCTGTCGTGATCAAAAGTAGTCTAAAAATTTACCCATAACTTGAAAATTTTATCAATTCATTTCTAGTCCATCAAACTATACTTGTGAAATATGATGAGAAGTTGGGTTTCGAAGACTTCCTTAGTAGATTGATACTGGCATTTTAGTCTGCTAGGCAGCCAGATTTCGGCTAGCCAGACAGTGATTTTCATGTCTAACAGGTACCATTTGAAAGGGATAACTGAATGAAATAAAGCCATGACACAGAAGCCCTACAGACGGTATCTGAAACCAGGGGTTGAGGCGATTACGCTTCATTAAATCTACTTATAGGGACACATTCTTAGGCTAAATTAAAGGAAATGAGAGTAATGAAAAATATAAAATAGATAAATTGGCAATATAAAGTGGGGTTGAGAGAAAAGATGTAGCACTATAATATAAGACAAAAACGAGGGCGGGAAATGAGGCCTCAACGGTTGAACAAAGTATTAGTTGAACTTTGATAAGTTGACACTCTGTACTAACGATGCATTCCACGATGCCGGCGAAACATATGTGAATGTAT